GTTGTTCTTGTTGCTTGATGCTCTTGTAAAGATTTTTTCTTTTATTCGTTGAAATAACCATCATTCCTCTTTCTCCTTTTTTTTGCTCTTTTTTTTCTATATATATATATTCTCTTTGTTTGATACTCCTTTGTACTGTGATGTGATCATGTACAATAAAAAATAAAATAAAATAAAATAGCAAGGCTTGGTGTAACTATCTGGTAGAGAAGACCCAAAGCCACTGTTTATTAATGGCTTGGCTTATTCTAACTCAACTTAATGGTGAACTGCAGTCTTTCTCTCTCAAAGATGCCGAACTCCTCTGGAGCACAAAGCTTCACGGTGGTCCATTACTATACTGTGGAGAGAGAAAAAGTACGGAGGCGGAATCTCGGCTGTGGACACACCGTCCATCTCTCTCAACGTGTTCACGCTGTCCACTCACCTTACGCCGCAGCTGTGAAGATGTACTGATGTCTAAACCGAAGACACAAGAGACGGAGTCCGTTCCACTGGATTTTCAAGAGAATGAAAATATGAAGTGCTGTCTCGTTTCATCTACTCATACAGATGATGCGGTGAGTACACCTTCTCAGAAGTGGTGCTTTTATCTTGATTCTCTTGTTACTCCTTCTTTACATGATGATAGTGATAATGATAATAATAGTGATAATAATGATAATGATAATGGTAAAGCTGTTGGAATGTATGTGGATGAACTACTTCAACAGTGGAATGATAATTCCTGTCCTCTTCACAGAGCTGTGGAACTTCTCCATAAGGAGATGTTATACGTAGAATTAGATTTGTTTACTGGAAGATTATTGTCGTGTTTTTCAAATGCAGATAGCTATTGTAATAATGATTTGAAGATAGCAAGAGATGATAATGTATCCCTGCGTTTACTTTTAAAACGTACAAATATTTCTAGAAGTGTAATGTTTCCACCGCAGCGAGTACCAACACCTTCTCTTATAAATAGCAACTATTCCGAAGAGAGTATTACTTCTCATACCTGGTATGTTTTAAATTCTAAAGTGGAACTTGAATTACTTGAAACATCTATAAATAATGATTTTCCTTATGAGCCTTGGCTACATGCCGCAGATCATTCTTTTTTTTATATTAATCAAATACCAACAAGTGAAGGGGTAAACGCCTATTTACGATCATCTTGTGAATTGGAAAAGTTTACAGAATTGAAATTTACGGTTACTTCTCCAATTATATCTGCTTATCTTCTATGGGCGGATCAATCTACAAATGCTAGTATGGATGATGGTGCTGGTATGATGTCATCTGTGCATTGTCAAGAGATTCCAGTTGTGCTTTCTGAAGGATTTCCAGGAAAAAAAATTCTTGTGAAATCTCCAAATCTACAAGAGCAGAATAATAATAATAATAATAATAATGAAACGAAAGAAATACTCTCTGGGTTTCTTGATAGTGATTCACGTGTTCTCTTTGTGGAATCTAATGAAATGAAGATTACGTTGACATCTCCTCATAAATTATTATTCCCACATCCAAATGAAGATATGGATAGTCAATCATCTCAAGATGAAAATACTGAAGAAGAAGAGGAGGAAGAGGAAGAAGAAGAAGAAGAAGAAGAGGAGGAGGAAGAAGAAGAAAGAATGTTTCTATTAAATGGAGATGACTCCGACACGACAGAGGAATCGCCTTCAAAAAGTGGAACTAGTGAAAATGCAATGGTAGTATACAGAGGAATCCCATCTAAACAGGGTAACAGAAGTGATACTAACGCTCTGCTCTCTACACATGTGGAATCTTCTTTCTTTGATGAAAACTTTGAGGTGAAGTCTCTTTTAGGCCGTGGGGCTTCTGGTGTTGTTCTTCTCGTTCGACATCGAGTGACTGGTGTACTTTATGCTGTCAAGGTGATGTTGGCTCGGGATTACTTTACAGAGAATGATGTCCTTCGCGAAGTACGGCTGCATGCCCATCTACACAACAGAAATCTTGTACGTTACTTTGCCTGTTGGTCAGAGGCCATTACACCATTTCGAGTACTGCAACTCGCCAGGATTGGTCTCTGTAGTGGAAAAGATGTAAGGAAAATATGTGGGAAGAATAATTCCAATTGTATGCATCTTGTGAATACCCAACGGGAGACTCCACTGAACGTGGAAGAGAAGATTAACTGGATGTTACCACCACTACCACCAACAACAACAGCAGCAGCAACAAAAACTACCAAAAGAAGTACATCAACAGTACCATTATCTGCAAATAATCGCAATCTTCTTTTGGGACCGCCTCCAGTGGAAAAAGATGCCACCGCATATCTTGTTGGAGATGAAAGTATGGATGAGAGCTCAGCAACTTCTTGTAGTTCTGAAGATGATAAATCTATGGGAGATGAATCTTCTGAAGTTACTTCATCTGAGAATAGTATAAGTAATTTTTTGGGTCGAGTGGTGTTTCTTCAACTTGAGTATTGTCAAACTACTCTGGCTCATCGCTTGGGGTCTAGAACTGAAATAGATCGTTTGGAAAATATTATCATCGCATTACAATTATTTTCAGGATTACGATATATTCATAAGTGTGGTTGTTTACATCGAGATATTAAACCAACAAATATTTTCCTTGATTACCGCTCTCAAATGGGAATTGTAGATGATAATAGTGATGATATGAGTGATGATGATTCTGATTATGACAATAGTATGGAAGAAGAAAACGAAAAAGAAGAAGAAGAAACGGTTGTGCGTAATGGATGTACACGAGAGAAAGAGTTGACAGATGGTAAACATTTGCCAGACTTATTTGTACCCTCACCTTCAGCCTTTGATTTCCTGAAAAAGAATATCAGAGTAGGTTCATTGGCAGTTTATTTAAGACAGTTAAGAGATGCAAAGTGTGAAAGAAAAAAAGAAAAAATACTACGATCTGTACGAGTTTGGCTTAAGAGGCGTCTTGTTCAAGTTCGTATTGGAGATTTTGGTCTATCTAAACCTCTCAGTGATCAGCGAATGGATATTGCGAGTTACTTTGATAACAGTACTATAAACACTGTAGGAATTGGTTCCCCCATCTACTCTAGTCCAGAGCAATTAAATGGAGATATCTGTACACCCGCCACGGACAATTTCGCAGCTGGAGTGGTGTTGGCAGAAATGTATTTTCTTCCCAAGACAATATCAGAGCGTCTGGTGGAACTGCGGCGTGTGCGTGAAGGGACTTTTCCCAATCCACATCTCTTAAAGAGATACCCAGAGCTGCAGGTGGTGCAGAGTTTAACACACTCTAATCCAGAGAAGCGTATGAAACTCCGAGACGCCACTCGAATGTTGGCAAAAACGGCAAATGATTTATTACTTTCATTCTTTCAGAGTCATGGATATTAGGAAAGAAAGAAAGAACACACAGACACACTATCTGCCATCTCAAAGTTTATTCAAAATAAAGAAAAAGAAAAAGAAAGAAAAAAACGAATGGTGGAAGTGAGGTGGTGGCCGAGAACATTCAGAGTAGTGGGGGTAAAATTCGAAAGTACTGATATATATATATATATATATATATATAAAGTTTAATTTAGAATATTGGCTATTCAAATATTTTTGTTTTTCTCTTTATAATTGCTGATACTTTGATCTTTGCATTTTTTTTTTTGCCTGTTATTATTATTATTATTATTATTATTATTATTATTATTATTATTATTATTTTACTAAACTGTTGGCTTGTGCTCGAACAATAAAAAAACAAAAACAAAAATAAAAAAGAGCTTGACTGAGGAAAGAAGAAAAAAAAAAAAAAAAGAAACCCCTGGGGCGGCAATGCGACGATGGGTCTCCCTTGGTGGATGGTGTGGTCCTGGTCTCATGCTCTCCAAGTTAGGAATACGGCCCGTTGAGGAGCAGCTGCCATTTGATATGGCCCGCTGTAGTTTTGATGGACTGCTGGAGTTCACAGTGAACGGCTTTGGCAATGGATTCTTTCCCGGCCCTTTGGAAGAGCGGCCATTCACACCAGATCCAGCTTCCGTGTGGCTTTTATTCCGCTCTCAGCATACATGTATTACCCATTTTAATCTTAACTCCGATGAAGTTGTGCAGGAGTTTATGAGAAGATTTAAGGAATGGGAAAAGATGATTACATGCCCAACACGACCCGTAACGTTTTTGCGAACATGTATCGCAGAAGACGCGAAAGAGGAAGTGGACTTGTTGCCATTATGGCACGCCGCACTACACAAGAAAAGTGAAGGAAAGTTAAATTTCCGTACAGTGATGGTAATACATAATCAAGGACCCATCACAGAACCTATGGCGGCTTACAATGAGAAAGATGCGGCTGGTTCACCCTGTGTAGTGTGGAATCTCGCGTTTGACAAACAATTACCAGACACGGCCTCATTGTTTGATAAGTGTCATGATGGTTATAAACATATTATTCAAGAAATGAATCGTGAGGAATCATGGAAACATATCTCTACATCTTCACTATCTCCTGCAGCATTGAAACCGTATACAAATCTTTCTTTAGTAGAAGGTGTACCTGCATTGCGAGGCTCCTGCACAGGATTTGGCACAACTTATGCTGCTGTTCTGGGTAGATGTATGCGTTGTGGAAGTACGAATGGGCATGAAGTCGTGCGGGATGCTTTTGATAGCAAACGAGCATGGAGTGAAGAAGAAGATGCGGAACTTCTATCAAAGTTTCTTTCTGCCAATGGGGATGAAATTGCAGCAGTAGAGGCTGCAGCAATTGAATTAAAACGTGGTGCCAATGAAGTGTTTTTACGTTTGAAACTGTTGACGGGCTCTTAGATTTCTAGTATATTAATTCTACCTCATCACATTTTCTACTCCACTGTAGTATACAACATTGTACAAGTAATTGGAGAAGAAAAAAAAAAAAAAAAAAGGAAATTTTTTATTTCATCTGTTTTTGTTATTGTTATTGTTCTTGTTTAGATACACAATAGGTTTCATTCTATACTCTTTTTTTCTTTCTATCAATGCTTTTTTTTTTTTTTTTTACATGACATTCTCTCCTTCTTTTTTTTTAAATTACTAGCGGTAGTTCAGTGGAAACAGGGGTAAACAAAGAAGACTATAAAAAAAGAAATAGAAAAGAAAAAAAAAAAAAGAACATGTCTACAGATCAAAAAAGTATATATCAAAAATCCTGGCTGTGGAAGCAGGCAGAGTGGAGGTTTAATTGGGATAAACGTTTCTTTATTCAAGATGGTCTACGTTTGGCTTATCGAGTAGAGGAGAATGGGCCGGAAAAGAAGGCCGGTTATATCACTTCCCTCCTGCGTGAAGTAGACCCACAACAGCCACTGATCTTTCGTGTATGGTTGAAAGAAGGAGACTGTTGGACACTGCGGGCAGCCACAGCGGATGAACATAAACAATGGATAGATTCTATTACACATGCGTTAACGCAAGACGAAGTAGTAAGATCTGATGGTGTGCGAGAGGGCATCGTACTTAAAAAGGCAGCGTGGACTGGACAATGGCGACAACGTTATTTTGAATTAGATGAATGTCGTTTGACATATCGGGTAAGCAAAGAGAATGCTGTACGAAACCGATTTATAGTAGTATCTGTTGATGGATCTGATGAGAAAGGAAGAGAGACGGAGTTGCTTATTACTACAAGTTGTGGAGAACGATTTTGGGTTAAATTTACAACTAGAGAACAATGTGAAGATTGGAAAAATGTTATTTTTTCTTCTATACGTCGTACAATGGCATGGCATTGGTTTATGCTTCCACCATCAACGTATGAAACTTTACATCTTCTTTACCGTGCATCTGCAAGGGGTAAGGATACGGTTGTTTACTTTTATGGTGGGAGTAATACTGTGGCCTCACGAAAGTACTCACGTGCGGCGAAGATGTTTTTACCAGTAGTGAGCCGTGAATGTATTGAACGTCAACTCTCAATGATTCATCTCGCCGGGGAACATAAATGTACTGTATTTGAGGTTTTACCATTTGAGGAGAATGAACACGCCAAGGTGCGTCCACCACCACTTATCGGTGCTGCCACATGTGTATATACATCATCATTACAAGAAACAGGAGGAAAACAAAAAGAAGAAAAAGAAGAAATAATTGTAGGAATGGAGAATAAATCAACATCCATTTCTTCATTAGAGTGTTTATTTCTTATAGGAGGTCGTTCGGCGTCATCTGCTGATTGTGATAATACTACCGAGTTGTGGTGGTGTTTCCCACGATCTCCAGTACCACAGTGGCATCGTTCCTGTTATGATACTTCTTTGGTCCCACATCGTACATTTCACACTCTTACTGCACGACAGACAAGAAAAGAAATTCTTCTTGTTGGTGGAATTGATGACTCTGATCATGCCTGTGCGGATTGTTTTTCAATATCATGGGATAGTAATGAAACGGATTCTTCCATTTATGGTTCTCCTGTGATAGAGTTTTTTGGATATCTTCCAGAACCCCGTGCCTTTCATGTTTGTTTAGAGTTACAGGATTTATCTCTTCTCTTGTTAGGAGGTCAAACTATTTGCAATACTACAACTCGTATAAGTACTCCTGCTACGGCTGCAGATTCTGTTCTTCGTCTTCCTGCAGGTGAGAAGGAATGGCATAAGGTTTCTGTACACCCACCATTGCCGCATATGGATAATGTATGTGCAACAGAAGCCTTGTGTGGAAGTGAAAATTGTGTATTTCTACTTGGAGAGACGTGTACCCCAAATCCTATTCTCAAATTATTTCAATTAAAACTTCAATCTATGGATGCTATAGTGAGAGAAATAGATATTACTATCGGTGCAATTCCACGGAGTAGCTATGGAGCCACTATGCACTATGCATCCGGTTATTTGTATGTTTTTGGAAGTTGTTGCGATAGAAATAAAAGCGGAAATGGTGATGTTCCGTTGTTTCAGGACCCTGTCCGTATGCTTATTGGTGGTGATGGCGAAAACAATTGCAATGTCTTGAGTTCCACGCCTTCTTCGTGAAAAACATTTCAGTATAATAATGGGTCTGGATAGCTATATTATTGTCTGGTTTTTTATTGTTTTTTTTTTTTTTTTAGCTATTTTGCTTCTCTCAATTCTTCTCTTGGGCTGACCAATGTTCTTATTTGATGTGCATTATTCTTGGTAAAGCTCGCCTTTGTTTTTGTTTCTATGTTCAATAGTTTTTTTTTTTTTTTTTCTTTTTGCTTCTTTCTCTCTTTCTCTCTTTTACAGACAGACACATTTTTTTTTTTTTCTATCTCTGTGTGTTCAGGCAGCTATGCGTGTATGTATGTATAAATGTATGTATCCCTGTATTTCTGCTTGGAGGTGTTGAAAACAAACGTTGTCTCGGTGATCCTTTTTTTTTCCCCTTTTTTTGTGTGATGTTGTTGTTGTGTTTATGGGTTGATTTAGTAGACTACATACACACACATACGTACAACCCCCTTTTTACCAACTCCCTGATAAAAACAGCAGAAAAACAAAGAGAAAAAAAAAAGAAAAGAATATATATATATACATATATACACTTATTGTTCATTGTATCGGTTTTATTATTTTCATCCTTCTTTCTTTCTTTCTTTCTTTCTATTTTTCTCTTTCCTATACATATGTATATATAAGTAGCCTGTTTGGGTTGGCTACTCGATTGGCTGGAGAAAAGGAAAAAAAAAAAAAAAGGAAAGTCGAAAAGGGCGATGGGTCCAAAGAAGGGCTCGAAGAAGTTGGAGGAGGTGCCCCCCGCCGTGGAGGACCCCCTCCTCGCTGAGACCTCCCGCACCGCCATGAAGTGGGCCGCCCGGGTGGCCGTGAATAGCCGGCGGGTGGTGGAGGTCCAGCAGCTGCTCGGTATCTTCTCAGCGCAGGTGGAGGTTGTGAATCGGGAATTGACAGATGTTTACGATAATGCGCAACTTCTTTCAATGCTTCGCATTGTGGACTATCGACAGAAATTAAATCCATCCCCAACTCCAGTGACCGTTAAGAAACAAAAAAGACGTGATAATAACACACGGGTCTCTATTCGACCACCAGTAGATGAAAATAGCACAGAGGCACTAGTAGCAGCAATGGATGAGAAGAAACGAGCTAAAGTCTCTGCAGCTCTTGTAAATCTATTCCGCCGTAATCAAAGCGATACTCCTTCTTCTTCACAGGCGGGTGTATCTCCATTATCACCGCAATCACCACCACAACAACAACTACAACTTGAAGCACCCGCCTCTCCTACAGATGCGTCAGGCAAACAACAATTTTCATCAGGTTTCTCTTCTGATGGGCTCAATAACAACACCCCAACCTTTGAACATCGGCGGCCGAAAGATGTACCACCAGAGTTGTGGGATGAAGTATCAAAACTACGTATGCGACGTATTGTTTTGGAAGATCGTCTTGCAGTACTAATGGGGAGAATTGATTCGCAACTCAAAAGATTTGATTTGCTTATGCAGAATTATGGTGTTACAATGTATGCATCGGATGCCATGGAACATAACCTTAGCATATTGAGAGCGAAGAAGTCTTAACTCACTGTATCAATGTGTAATGTAAATACGTTTGTTCCCTAGATGGTTGTTTATTTTTCTCACAGTGGGTAACTGTTGTTGTGTGTTGCACAGTGATCTGTTTTTTTTTTTTTCTTTTTCTTCTCTTCTGTGCGTGTGTGTGATTGTGTTTGTGTTTGTGTGTTTTTAACATCATATATATGTATGTACGTATATGTACATACATTTGCAGACGTACCCAAAGAAAAAAGATACGTGGAAAAATCACAAACTAAATAAAAAAAAAAAAAAAGATAGTACTGCTCTTTTATTTATGTTTCTTCTCTTTTTTTTTGCATTCTCTCTTTTTTCTTTTCTTTTCTTTTTTTTCTTTTTTTGGTCTTTGCTTTTTGAAGTTAGTTCTTTATCTGTATTCTCTTACAGTCTCATTTTCTTTATTTTTTCTTTTTCCCTACCTTACTATATTACTATTTTGAAAAAGAAAAAAAAAATGGGTGGGAAATTATCTAAACAAGAGGAATTATTTGTCCTCCATCGATGGCCAGAGTTATTGGAAAATGCCATGGCCACAGATGTGGAGTACGCGGTTGCTGCTGCTGGGTCTGCTGCTGCGGGTAGTGATAATAGTAATAGTAATAATAATAAAAGACATTCATCCACCTCTTTTCGCATGTCCTTTCAGGAGTGGCAGGCCCTCATCACACTGCTGGACAACACAGAGCCAAGTGAATTGCCCTCACGATTGTGTGCGGGAGTTAAAAACACAACCGTTACAACTCCCATTCTTGTAGTGATGATACACGCCTGTTGTTGGTTTGACGGGAGTATTACTGCAGAAGTACTCGTTGAACGTCTGCAAAACTTTCAGAAGAATGTTTTGAAGTCCATTGAGGAAAGTGGAGAACGGCGAAGTAGTGAAGAAAATGCGGAATTAGAACTTGCAGATGATGCGTTGTGTATTCTTTTAGAATTAGCACAGGATAAAAAAAATTTATCCTCATCACAGAAACGTACACCACAAGTGAAACATGTGGCGATTGACAAATTAATAGCATGGGATCGTTCTAAAAAACCTCTTGTTACTCTCGCACATACATTTATCGTGGGAGTTATAGCTTCTCTTCACTCTAATCCACGCTACGCTGAAACCGCCGTGCAGTCATTTCGTCATTTACAAGAATCTATAGGTGAGTCCGCCGCTACAGTCACTCCGCGAGGTGGGCGAGGTGCTGCATGTAATATCATCAAGTGGGATATTATGCAACGTATTGAAAACGTTCTTGTACGCCGACAACGAGAAACGGACGTGTTGGATCTTCTCTCTATAAAAGAAAGATGGTGGCTTCCACCAACCACTCCTTCATCTGTTAGTACAAATCAAAGTACAAGTAGACGTAATAGTAATAATAGTAGTAGTAGTATGGCTAGTACCAGTGTTGCAGCTTCTAGTGGGACCACACAATTATCCAATTTGACACCTGAAGAACGTTGGGCATTAGTACCATCACAGTATATTGGTCAAGAACATATTTGGGCAACTTTACAAACACATTTCTTAAGTTCTGATGTCTTTAATGCAGAAAAACCGACAGTCATTGTTTTCTTTGGTCCTTCTGGTTTTGGTAAATCAGAGATGGCCCGTCGAATAGCTTGTGTAATCCATGGTAAAGAACCAAGTAATGTGGAGTCCTCTGGAAAACTTGTACACATTCATCTTCCCTCATTCTGTACACGGGACTCTATTTATTCACTTGTAGACCCACCAGCCGCGCATGTGGGTGAGGGAGTGTTACTTACAGCACTTCGTAAAAATGATGATGCGGTGGTTGTATTAGATGAATTTGAAAAAGGTACTGCAGATGCCATTCAGAATTTATGGCTTTCGGCTTTTCAAAAAAAAGGAACACTTCGTTCTCTTAAAGATGCCTCACGTTCTGTTTCTACAGAAAAGACTACCTTTATTCTTACCTGCAATATAGCTTCAGATACCATATTGCGTAATAAAGATAAATATCTACGAGCCACTGCAGAAGAACAAGCGGCAATGCGTGCAGAGTGGACAGAAGTTTGTAAAGAAGTTTGTCGTAAAACTATGCATGATCCTTTTGTAAATCGTGTGGATTATTTCTTTCCTTTTGTCCCCTACACAGAGGAAGAGAAGGAACGTTTTATTCAAATGCAACTTCGTCGTATTCTATTAGATCAGAGATCGAAGGATAGACATATTTATATTACCCCACGAATGGTAAAAGCCATTGCAGCGAAATTACAATCTTTTCATGCCTCTACCATAGAAGGTGTGGTGCGGCCACTTCTTGTGGAGGTAATTCAGAAAAAGTGGACGGGGGCGGTATTAACAGTGGAAGAACATGTTTCCGGAACGGTATTTGTGGCTATTCCAACAACAACAACCACAACAGGTGAAACGAAAGAGGGAGGAAGTGTGATATCGTGGGATTCTATTCCAGATGGAGAGCGAGCATTAGCTGTTTATGATAACCAGGAAGAATCAAAGTTATCCACGAGAACAAAGAGGAAAACAACAACAACAACAACAACAGCATCATCTTCATCAACGACAACAACAACAACAAAGAGTGTTGGGGTGGATGATATTACTACTAGTACTCCAAAGGGAAAAGAAAAAGAAGAGACAAGAACGAAAACAGTAGAAACGAAAGAAAAAGTTTTAAGAGATAAGCAACCAGTAGTCAGTTCAATAATACATCACACACCAACAGTAATAGAAAAGGAAAAGATTCTACAATTGGAAAAAAATGTACAAAAAGATCTTGAATTAGAATTAAAAAAGGCAAATGAACTTATACTTCAGAAGGATATGGAGATTACATACTTAAAAGAAAAAGTACTTTGTTTGGAGAAACTTTTGGCTGTATTATTAATCTCTACTTTAACATGTCTATTTGTCTTATCACTAATTGTGGGTGTAAAGATTGTCCTTGTAATAAGTTTCTTTATCATATTAGCCATTTATCTTTTAATTGGGATGCGAATGGAATTACTTCTTGGGGCTTTACGTGTATTGTATGGTATTCTTGGTCCTTTTGGTTCTGCTTTAGCCGTAGTCGCACTTTCTCTTTGGACTTCACAAGCGATACGTAATTCGATGATATGTTGATTTTTTTTTTTTTTTNNNTTTTTTTTTTTTGTTTTCTTCGTTTTGTGAGGAAACCGTATTGTTTTCTTTTCGCCAGTTTTTCTTTTTTTTTTTTTCTTTTCTTCTGTTTATGTGTACGTGTTTTTTTTTTTTGGTGAACGGGGCAAAAAGTTGATAAAAGAAGGGGAAAAAAAACATTTTTTTTTTCTTTTTTTTTGTTTCTTTTTGTTTTCCTTCTATTATATTTGCTCTTACTGTGTTTATTTGATTTGTTCTCGTATTCTTATTTAAACTTGTATGCTTCTTTTATGGATATAATTTCCCCACCCACATCCACACACTCTCTTTCTCTCTTTCTTTCTCTTTCTCTTTCTTTCTCTGTTCACAATCTTCTTGTAGTTCCCAACAAGTAGACACAACGGAAAAACGGCAAGCAGTACAGTCGAAGGGAGAGAACTGCACGAGCAGCGAAGAGCGGCCGTTCGGGCTGTAAACCGCCATCATATACTTCTCTGCAATAACATTATTCTTCTCTCAAAATGTTTAGGTGCAGCACGGGATCCATTATTTCAAACAGAAAAGGAAAAAATAACCGACATGAACACATCATATACACACATGCTAAGAGATAATGGTAATGGTATGATGAATAGCAGTCAAGTTCTCTTTCGTATTCGATGTGAAGAGGAAATACGATTGTTGGAGGCTCAACGCACATTTCTCCTCTCATCTATTAGAGAGAAACAATTAGAATGTGAACGACTACATGCAAAGGGGAATATGTACCGTGTGGAGATTGACTCTCTTCTTCCTTCTCTTCAATCCTGTGGAGAAATGTCTCTTTCATCTCCTTCTGATGGGGAGGCATTTCTTCTTTCTCGATCTACACACATGGGAAGTGGAAATAGATCAATAACAACAACAACAAGAGAAACTTCCCTCACGACATTAACGGCCGCCGCCGCAGCACTTGAAGAGAAGATACAATTAATGGAAAATTCTATTCTAAATAAAAATAATTCTGCTGTTGCCGTATCCAAGATGCAGGATCATGCACTTCAAACATTACGGAAAGAAGTTAAAAAAGTACGAATGATGTTAGAAAAAGATATGGCATCTCTTGTGAACGCTGAGATATGGGCATTAGAAGCTGAAGAGGAGAAGGCACGTATTCTCTTGGAAATAGAAGAGATGAAATCTCTAGAAGAGTGTGAGAGCAGTTCCTTCACAGTCCTCACAGCCTTCAACACTGCTGTCACGGAGCGGGCAAGAATTGCGGAATTAAAACGCAATGCGATCCAACACCTTCTGGCCCAGAGGAAACAAGATGGTATCATACCTAATATTCAGATTGAAAATAATAATAATAATAATAATAATAATAATAATAATAATAATAATGACAAGAACGAGGAAATTATCACAACAACTAGTAATGATAACAGTATCAGTAATGATGAGAAGTCAAACGAAATGTTTAATATAGAATTGATGAATACTAAACAAGATATTGAGGAAACGGTAAAACAGCTCTTGTCAGTACGTACATCTCTGCTTATTTTAAATGCTTCTATAATAAGTATAGCGGATAATATAGATGAGATTGATTCTGTTGTAACTGGTTTGAAGAATGACCCAAATTGGATGCCTATATTAGTAGAAGCTAATTCTGAAGTGGAGTCGTGGCGTATTTCTAATCTTAAGAAGGCTTATGATAATGCAGTAAAGTCTCTACAAAAGTCTCGTGATAATTCAAGTCTATCGGTTGCTGAAGATCTGATAACTAAAGTAAAATATTTATGTATTATTAATAACATTTTTTCTTGCCATCCTGTAGTACTTGCAAGTGCTGTCTTGGGTAGCGATTCAAAATGGAAAGATGTGCATGATATGTTGCCTGCTGTAAAAAGGGCAATTTTATTATTGCGAAGAAAGAAGAAGTAATGTAATGTATTATTCTTATTATTGTTTATCTCCTTCTCTTTTTTTTTACTCCTTGTGGAAAAGGATGGCTATAGTTTTAAATGTAATATTGTCTATTTATGCTCTATAGTGGTTTTGTTTCTTATGAATCTAGTGATAAAAGTGAAGAGAGTAGCAATAGTGGTGGTGGTGTAGCTCTTTCTCTAATTTATCTACATGTATGTATGTATGTATATATGATATGTAGAATTATCTCTAGAATTCCTTTTAACCCTCTACCCTTTATTATTTTTATTATTAGTGTTTACCCCACATCCGTAACTACAACTAGAGGTGGTGGGGAAAGGATAAAGAATAAAACAAGAACAAAAACAGAAAAAGAAAGAATCAAAGGAAGAAGGAAAATAATATATATATATATATATCTATATATATATCGTTTTTCAAAGAGAGGTAGATTAAATGGATAGTGGGAGTTCTGCATCTGAAGATGGAGAACGTGAGTTTAAAGTCGTTATTCTTGGCGATGGCGCTGTGGGCAAAACATCACTCATCAAACGTTACTGTGAGAGTGACTTTGCACAGAACTACAAACAAACCATAGGCCTTGACTTTTACTCGAAGAAAGTAGAATTACCCGATGGAGGTCGAGTTACTTTACGTATTTGGGATATTGGCGGTCAACAGATTGGTGGTAGTATGATTGAGAATTACATTCATGAGGCGGATGCGGTGTGTTTTGTGTATGATGTAACGAACCCCGACTCCTTTAAAGATGTGGAGGATTGGCACCGGTGTGTCCTCACATCTCTGGAGAAGGAAAAAGAAACCCCCCGCTCCTCCTCACCATTAATGGTGTTAGTAGGAAATAAAACAGATTTACCAAATAGACAGGTAACGAATGGAATGCATGAGCGGGCGGCGTCTATGAATCACATGGAGGCATTTCTCATCTCCGCCCGGTCTGGCGAGCGCATTAACGCCCTCTTCACGAAAATTGCCGCGCGGCTCTGCGGCGTGAGTGTCAGCCAGCAGGAGTTGGAGATGCGGGACTGCGTGGTGGCGAATGTCGAGTCGCGGCCGGAGGAGCGGGTGTCGGTCTTCCACGCCACGCAAGAGGAACGGAAGGGCCGCAAAGAGAAGGACGACTGCAGCGTTATGTAGAGATGGCCTCCCATAGAGAGAGAGAGAGAGAGAGAGAGAGAGGAAAGAGGAAAGAGGAAGAAATAATAATAATAATAATAATAATAATAATAAATGTTACTTAATGTGTAGTTGTTTTTTGTTTTGTTTTGTTTGTTTGTTTATTTTTGGGTCCTGATGAAAAGTGGAATTTCATTTTGTGACTACTATTGGCGTTTTTTTTTTTTTGTTTGTTTGTTCGTCTCTCTCGTGTTCATCCTCCACTAAACCATCATATTATTATTATTACTATTGTTGTTGTTGTTGTTGTTGTTGTTGTTGTTCTTATTATGAGTTACTCTTGGCATATTACCGTTTGCATGTGCTTTATTTCTTTGGTCTTTGTGCTGCTAGTATTTTTTCTCTGTGGAAGAAAGAAAGAAAGAAAGAAAGAAAAAAAAAAAAAGAAATATAAAAAAAAAAAAAGAGCAAGAGAGGTAACAAGAACAAAGAAAGAAAAAAAAATTATTTATTAATTCTACAGGAATAGCGATTCTCTTTGGTACTTTTTATGAAGACCATAACTATGAGAAGAAAGGGTTTATGTTATTTACGTGGGGGACTGAATAGCATTGATACATATATTGAACCTATGGTAAAGATGTTTAGTACTTATTTACTGCTATTGGTGGCATCTCTGACGCTTCTTTCATAATGATGCGGAACCAATATCTTTTTTTTTTTTTGTACATTGTAAGTATTTATATGTATACAGATAAGTATGTATCTTTGTCATTTATTTATTCCTATGTATTATCTTGTATTTTTTTTTTCTCTTATCTTATTACTCCCCCATCATCATGACTACCACCATTACTGATAACGGTAGCATATTTTTGCTGACGCAGTACATTTTGTAAAAGAAAAAAAAAAAAAAACAAGGAATAAGAAGATATTGGTCCGCAGTTAAGTAGACGTATATATACATTCAAACCAAATTAAGTAAACTATATATACTATTTATTTATATTATTTATTTATTTCTGTTCAATGACAACTACACTAGACACCACACCATTAACTGAGATTCCAACAGTAGTGAACAAATGCCGCCAGGGTTTTCAAACAGGAGCCATTCGATCAATAAAAGATCGTAAATCTCTCTTGCGTTCTCTTCTGCGTATGTTGGATGAGAACGAGTCGGCCCTCTGCACAGCAGTCCACACAGACCTGCGAAAACACGTGAACGAAACAACTCTGATGGAACTCTCCGTACTTCGCGCGGAACTTTATCACATGTTAGAAAACCTGAATGAATACACGGCGGTGGAGAAGCTGCAGCTTGGCGGGGCTTTCGTATTTGAAGACTGTGAGGTTCGCAGTGAACCGCTCGGTGTTGTTCTTGTGATTGGGGCGTGGAATTATCCCGTGCAGCTCACACTACTGCCGCTGCTGGGTGCCATTGCGGCTGGGAATACAGTCGTGTTAAAGCCAAGTGAGTTGGCCCCCGCTACCGCCTACATTTTAGAGAAATTACTCAGCGATTATCTTCCAGAGAATGTTGTCGGTGTTGTTAATGGTGGAGTTGTGGAAACCACACGACTGTTGGAGGAACGATTTGATCATATTTTTTATACCGGAGGTTCACGAGTGGCCACTATTGTGATGGCCGCAGCTGCTAAACATCTCACACCCGTTACGTTAGAACTTGGAGGAAAATCTCCCGTAGTTGTGGATAAAACTTGTGAAAAAGATATGAAAACAGTAGCCCGTCGTATTATGTGGGGAAAAGTCGTTAATGCTGGTCAAACGTGTGTGGCCCCAGATTATATACTTGTACAGAATGAAATAAAAGATAAACTCATTGAAGCATTAAAAAATGCAAGAGAAGAAATGATGGGTGTTAATCCATTAAATGCATTAGAAAAGAGTAATTACCCTTCTATTGTGAATATTAATCACTTTCAACGGTTAGTTAATCTTTTAAATGGTGGAACTGTTGTTTTTGGTGGAGAAATGGATGAATCTAGTTTAACTATTGCCCCAGCAGTTCTAACAGATATTTCTTTAGATCATCCACTAATGACAGATGAAATATTTGGACCTCTTTTACCAATAATACCCTTTAAAGATATTCATGAGGTTCTTAACTTTCTCAGCACGAAAGAGAAACCATTAGCACTCTATATCTTTTCCAATGATAAACATTTTATTAAGGAAGTGGAACAGAATACTTCCTCTGGAGCTGTTACGGTAAATGATGTTCTTATACATGCAGGTATGTGTGGTTTGCCCTTTGGTGGTGTTGGACAAAGTGGAATGGGTGCCTATCATGGTAAATACTCCTTTGATACCTTTTCCCATAAGAAACCGATATTACGGCGAAAAATGGGTATGGAGACTATGAACATCCCACGATATCCACCATACACAAAAGAGAAACTCCGTATTCTGCGAAAGGCATTAGAGCCACAAGGAGAGAGAACGGCATTGGGACGACGACTTTGGTTTTTCTCAGGAATTCCACAGGTGTGTGCGGTAACGTGTCAGTTCTTAAAATGGTACTTTACAAGATCTAATGAAGGTGGTAAAAGAGAGAAAGAAGAGAAATGAAAACATTGGGAAGTCTTCTTTACATTATATATGTTTGTTTCTTTGTTTGTCCTCATATGAACTTCAGGATGTACATAAATGATTTGGTATTGTTTCTTCTGTTTTTTTTTTTTTTCTCTCTTTCTGTTTTCTCATTTTGGTCTTGACAACGTTTATCTCTTTATGGATTGGAATAAATAAAGTCGAACTTGTTTTTATTGTTTTCTTCTTTATTATTTTTATTTTGAAGTATAATAGGTGAGTTTAACGTTTAGTAACGTGAAAGGGAAAGAAAGAAAGAAGGAAAGGAGGAGAGAGAATGATGTCTACCATTTTATATTCAGTGATAAATAACTCTGACGAATAAATTCATATATATTTTTTTATTCTTTCTTTTTCTCTTATGTTTGTTTTCTTTTGAATTATATATATATATATATATATATATATATATATTCCTTAGAAATAGGTCTATACTTTCATCTCCCTATTTATCTTCTTTTTCTGTTTTCACTTTTCCATAAAGCCCGCGGACTACCAGACACTGTGTGTGTGTGTGTGTGTGTGTGTAGATAAGAAATGAAAGGACTGGAAGAATGGCTCGCCTCCACCACAGAGAGTGAAGAGGAGGAAGAAGGAGAAGCAACAACAACAACAACAACGGCGATTGGGAGAACAAGGGGTCAAGGGACTGTGGTGAGTACACGAGAGGATATACGTGCACGGCAGGAGGAGATGCGTGATCGCATGCAACAACTTCTTGGTAGTAAAATCACGGAAGGAGAGAATAATGATAACAAGAATCAAAACAGTAAAAACAAGAGTAAAAGTATCAGTAGCGTCAGCAGTAGTAGTAGTCGCACCAAACAAAGTAAAAACAGTGCTGGTAACAGCAGTAAGGAGAAAAAGAAAGATGATGGTATTAACACATCAACTGTAGAAGAAGAAAATAATAAAAGAGAATATCGTTGTGTAGAGGTGATGGTGGTGGATCGTGGAACCCAAACCACCACTACTGTCGGTTGTCAAACAGATCCTATTCTTCCTTATCAACCTTTACCAGGTGCTACACTTCCTATTCCAACTATTTATTCTTCTTCTTCTTCTAATCCTCCTTGTTGCTGTTGCCGCTGCTGCTGCTGTTCTTGTGGTGGTATGGGTAATAAGAATGCTGGTGTACGGCGTCCTTATGCAAAGGCATTAGAAGCGAAAGAACTTCCCACGAGATTTAAGGAACAAATAGAGATGATACAGAATTCCATAGATATTATGATTGCCCGCTACAATTTACCACCACCTCCTCCCTTCTCAAGTGTGTAATGACATTTACCGTGGTTGTTTTTATTTTTATTTTTCTGTTAACTATTATTATTATTATTATTATTATTATTATTATTATTATTATTATTATTAATATGTGATGATATACTTTGTGTTTTTTATTATGCACCTTTTCCACAGTTATACACACAAGAAGAAAAGAAACCATAGAATCTTTGAAAAAAAAAAAAAAGAGGAAACGAAAAAAACAATACTTTGTGTTGTATTGTGTTGTTGTTATTATTTTTCGTAAAAGTAAAAATATATATATATACAAATGCAAATTGAAAGTGGCACGTTCTTCTTGTTCATTTTATGGTATTATCTTCGCTTCTTCTCTTCCCTCTGGTAAGTAAGTCGTACAAAGATAAGTATGGAAGAATTCTATAAAAACCCATTCCGTCGTGAATTAGATTTCAATGAACTTTGTTATGCCAGCGTAAACTCCTTTCCTGTGGATAATCCATCTCCATCCACAGCAACAACAGCCCTCCCAACAACAACAACAACAGCAGCAGCAGCAACAGTAATGGGAGGAATCTCAGAAAACTTAAAAGAAAGTGAATTCCTCGGTGTATCTTCTGCGCTGCGGTATCAAACACAATTAAGTGAGGCTCTGCGGGCGAACAGTACACTCCGCGCCACATATGAAACGCACATTGAGGCCCAACGCCAAGAAATGGAACGATTGAGTGATGAAAATAATAAACTTCTTAAGAAGTTAACAAGACTAGAGACAGACTTGCGATCATTGGTATTAGAGAAGGAGTGTGCGGCATTAGCGTATAGGCGAGAAATAGAAAAGAATGCCACACTAGAGGGAAAGATTAGATCACTGGAGGCCGAATTAAACTCACTAGAGCAGCGCACAAGGGAATTAAGTGCAGCTTATAATGGAACTTCACGTCAGATAGATACACCCGGTTCTCTTGTACAGACCAGAGCATCTTCTCACTATCAATATCCCCAACAACAACAACATCAACAACATCATCAACAGCAGCATCATCAACAACAACAGGAATTCACTCCATCACATGAGAAGGATAGATTACTGTATACACCAGAGCCACTTCGGTATGGATCACAACGAAAGGATCGTCCTTACGATACCAATGCTGGCAGCAGTAATAGTAATATTAATACCGCCACACCGGTGGGTCTACCGCGAACAGATCCCGTCACGCCTGTTTCTCACACGAGTGGGCGAAGACTGCAGGGGAATGCGGGAAATGGGAATAATAGATCCAACAACACACAGCGTGTGGATGAGAACCGAGCGACGAATATTAAACAACTAGAACAGCAATTGCTGCGGGAGTGTCAGAAGAAGGATGAACTTGAGCGGGAGTTGCTGAGAATGGAATCGACGCGGGTCCGCAGTGGATCTGATCGGGCAAAGAAGATATCGTTGGAACGGGCTCTCGCAGCTGCCCAACATGCAGTGAGTGACACTCGCATGAAACTGCGAGCACTCTCCGCATTGGTGCGCTGATAATTATATATATATATATATATATATATATATAGACATGTACACAAGCAGCAAGAAGGTTAGCAGAAAATTGGAAGAAGAGAAAAAAAGAAAAAGAAAAGGAAATAGAAAAAAAAAAAGAAACAAATAAGAATGAAATACATATAGAAGAAAAAGAAAGGGGTGTATGGGGTGATGAGATTTTGTACAGGGGAAGATTTTTTTTTTTTTTTTTAAGGGTGTGGGGTGTGAATGCTTTACTGACATTTATGTCTTTATTTTTCTCTTGAATTGAAAGAGATATGCCAGTTGCTCAACTGTACTAGTAAAGGAGAAGAATGAAAAAAGAAGAACAAGCGACAGTGAATAGACGTTTGTATTTCTTTTTTTTTATTACTTATTGAGCAAGAATTCTCTTCCACCTGTGTATACTTTTCCTCAATCCACCCTTTCCCCATCGTTTTTTTTCTTTTTTTTTGTTCGTTCTTGTTAATGGGGTTTGTTTTTCTTTTGAATGTTTTCTTTTTTTCATCATGATAAGAAAAGCAATCGATAAGTTATTTTGGCTTTAATTCTTGCATAGTTGACAAAAACCGGGAACATCATCATCAAGAAATAAAACATCAAAACATCAACAGGTGAAGTAGTGAGTTATATATATATATATATATATATATATATATATATATATAACTAGCGGTGGACCCTTTTTTCTTCCTTTACTTATCTGTATCTTTTAAAGAATGTCTTTGTGTATCTGTTTATGCGTGTTGTGTGAGCGTGCTCGGTATCCATTCATTTCAACAAGAAAAAAGAAAAAGAACATTATAAAGCGTAAAGGGATTTATTGTAATTCACGGATATGTTGTTGCTACAAGTGAGTTTTTCTTCCTATTATTTTAGACTTTGCGGCTTTTTATTTTATTTTATTTTTTTTCTTCTCTCTAAGGAAGAAATAGAGGATGTTGGAATTTAGCCAAATATATATATGCAGTGTTTTTTTTTGTTGTTGTTGTTTGGTCTCCCTTTTGGCGTAGATAAGGGTAACTCTTTTTCCGTATTCTGCTTTTACCCTGTACGTTTGAGAATATATATATATATATATATATATATATATATATATATATATATAT